TATATCAATATAGTAATAGATTGGGACTCTATTTATTGCTCACCAAGACTATTTGAGCATATTAAAATAATTAAATAGGCTTTACATTCATCAATAGTAGATATGATTGCCAACTTAATTACATAGATGTTGAAAAGATCAAGTCTCTCTAGTTTTGCATCACAGGTGCAACTCTTTCTATGTAGGCTATCAAGGGAGTTTGCCCTATCCTTACCCCGCCCCCAACATTCTATTTAAGAAATTGTTTCTATAGGCACCATGAGGGTGAATGCTTTAAATTTTTCACATGTGCACGATGCAGAATATTCTTTGAAGTTGAAAATGTGAACTGTACTTTTCACTTGTAGTTTGATTCTTTATTAGGAATAATCTCATATGTTTTATGATCCAAAGGTGTCTTCTAATCTAAATCAATCCTAATAATGGATGTGAATTTTTATGGTGGTTCTATACTACACATGCAAGGTCAATTATTGGTTTCTCAGTCATTTTTCTCATTTGTGTTACGCTTATGGAAAGCAAAGGAAAGATTAGTTACTACGGAGTATACAAGAATGCTACTAAATCTTGGGGTTCAATTTTATGTCTACGTGTGCCTTCTACTTTATATCTGATAGTGTCAAAGAACCTTTCATAATGTTACAAAAAAATTGTGTTGACATTTCATGGGCTAGGATTATAATATAGTGTATCATTTTGCAAAAGTTTTCCATCAGTTTGGGATTTTTATCTTATTGTATTGGTCGAGAAGCTAATGCTAAGTTGTGGAAGCACTAAGTTGGTCTAATTTTTCTTTGTATTGTAGAGCCAAACAAAAATATCCAAGAGATCGCAAGCGGTTTGGTTGGTTGCATCCTCCCTGTGAAGGTTTGCTATTCTTTTTGTTGGTAAAGGCTAAATTATATACAACACATGATGATCTCAAATTCCCATTATGTTTTTGTCTTAAACACACCACTGACATATTATACTAGTTAAGGAAATTTAAGATCATCACGTACTGTATTTATTTTAGTGTTTACCTTTCTGTATGTCTTTGTGCCTATGGCTTTACAAATGCTTTGGAGTTAGTTATAATTTAACTCAAGCTTTCATAAGAGGGGGGAGCATTTGGACTTCTCATAGTGCGGTGGCTAAGATTGAGATAGCCTTAAGAAAGGAGATAGTCGTTTTTTGCAAAGGGGGCATCATGGTTATCTTGAGCGAGGATCTTTTAACCCAACACAAACTTTTAGTCTTGGAGTTAAAGAATAAGTTAATGAAGAAAAAATGGAATGAGAAGTTGGTGCATATGTGGTATAAAGGAGTAGCGGAGACACTGATAATGTAAGAAACCTTATAGTTCAGTACATCAAGGAAGCTTCTAGAGAGGTCTTAATTGGTTTGAGGGGGCAAGTCTGGTAGATATGTAGGGGAATGGATGAGTGGTGATGGAAAAAAGAGGTGCAAGAAAAAGTGAAAGCTAAGAAGGTCGTGCATGAGTCATTGGTGGATCGCGTAAACGAGGAGGATTAGGGGAGAAAATAAGAAACCTAAGGAATGTAAGAGAAAAGCAAAGCTAGTGATCTTGATGATCAAAACAGTTGCCTTTGAGCAGTTGTATGAAAAGCTTAAGTGAAGGGGGAAGTAGAGAGTTGTATAGGCTTTCCAAATTTCACCTCTCTCACCTAAGGCACCCGGGCGAGCACTCAACGCCTCAAGGGAGCCAGGCGAGGCGACATCCCTAAGGCGGTCACCTTTCTCGTCTCATTCGCTGCCTCAGCCAATCACCTCTCTCACCTTCCATCTGATCGTTTTTTGGGTATCGACTAGTCTAGAAGATGACGGCTAATCTAAACGATGGCAGTCCCGAGTCGACCCATATTTCATTTAAATCTTGAAAAGGAAAGATGAATTTATATTATATACTCCCTTTTTCCCAAGATTTTATGAAGAGAATATAGTTTGACCTGTGAATTTTGAAGCGAACAAATAAAAGGGACATGGGATTTGTTACAAAAAAATAGTCAAGGCACTCCTTGTTTTATATAGTTTTTATGTAATTTTAAAATTTTCAATTTTATTCTTTAACTTTTACACCGATATTAAATTAAATTGAAAATAAATTTAGTCAAACATCGTAAACAGAAACATGACAAATAAAAAGGAACAGAGGGAGTAGTTAGGAAAGATAAAATCATGACAAGAAACAATAGCTGTTCAGAGTTAGGCCATGAATGAAATTACAAGCCTTTTTATATTTGGCTATTTTTAGAAAAACTTTCAAGTATATCAGAGACTCATGTTTGCCCTATCCCTGTGAATGTGGTTTCTGTAAATTCCTCCAATAGCAGACAATTCATTTTAGTGTTCTCAAGCTGATTTTAAGTTCTAAACCGTTCTATTACTAATTTACTATTGACTCACAATCCCTACCGCAATTTGCTATCAGGCAATCCAAGTTAGTGAAGAGCTGGGGAAGTTGATATTTTCTGAAAAGGAAGCAATGTGGGCAAAGTTTTCTAGTCAAATAAAAATAGGTGATATTTTTGAAGGAAGAGTGCGCTTTGTTGAGGATTTTGGTGCTTTAGTTGGCCTAAGATTTCCGGATGGTATGAATCTTGAAGCATACTCCACTAACTTATGAACTGTTAATTTTTCCCTTCATTAATAGTCCCTCTGTTTCTATTAATCTTTCTAGCTCAACCAAATTACATAGTTTAAGAAAATGTATTGGGATGATAAATTGATCATAAAGTATAGAGAATCGTCTAAAGTACTACAAAAAGGGTAAAAACAATTGTATATTGGGGAAGATTGTTAATGTGCATAGGTTTTACAAATGGCAGATTAAAAGAAAAGTGGCCTTTCTAGACAGATACATAGGAACATAGAAATAAACAGAGTATCATCTTTTTCTGACATTTCACAGATCAGGTTGTATTTCTCTCCTTTTCAATATAGAGCTTCCTTAACCTTCTTCTACAGTTTCGGTATTTAAGTAAAGGGATCACAAATGGCTCTTTCGAAAGTGTGTGCATTGATTGTTTCTGCTAGGAATTTAATTACCGACTTTCTTCAAGTAAGAGAGGTTTCTCATCACATGATTACAATGTATTATAAACCGTGGTCCAGGGTTTTACCACCTTGCTGGCTTTGTTCATGCCTCGGAAGTGTCATGGGATACCATTCATGATGCAAGAGATGTTTTAACAAAGGGTGATGTAGTGAGGGTCAAAGTTCTTAAGATAGATAGGTGATTTACAGTACTAATATACTTTATGTTCATCTCAATCTCAAATTCTATCTTTTTTGGCTGACAATATATAAGAATATATCCAGTGAAAAATCAAGGATTTCCCTTTCCATTAAACAATTAGAGGATGATCCGTTGCTTGAAACACTAGACAAAGTAATTCCCCAGGTGCGAGGCACTTTCTTCATGTGTTTTTCTCGTAATGGTTTTTTTCAAAATGTTTTCTTGTCAGAGTTATTTGTGTGTTGTTGCCATTGATCATGATGGTGAGTAATCTTTCAGATCTTCACAGGATTCTTTGCTGTATCCCAGCACCTCGAGTCCAAAGGATAGTGTTCGTATTGAACCGCTTCCCGGGATTGGAACAATCATTGAAGAGCTTATGCAAGAAGATGGGTATGTACATTAACTTTTACTATTGGTTGAATGTTTGAACTTTTGTTTTTGTAATTAGGATTGGGGACTTCCAGCGTATCATATATTTTTCTCCCTGTCTCCAAAAGAAATTCATGGTCTGACATCACTATTTAAGGAAAGTAAAAGTTAATGGTTGGAATATTTTTTAAAAGAGAAATATTTTGAACAACATATTCATATCCTTAAAAGGAAAGGAGGGAAATGTGAATTTTATTTTGGGACAAACAAAAAAAGAGGTGAACTTCTTTTGCGGACAGAGGGAGTATTGATATTTATAATATGCAAGTGTATTTGATATCTTTGGCCCTGTTTGGCCATGATCTATATTACTCCGTAGTTGTCTATGTTAGCTATTTATGTATTTGGATAGCTGTTCTTAAAAGCATTAAAACAATATTTTTGTAAACGAAGCTTGAAAACACCTGCTCTAAACAGTTTCTCAAAAACCTTTTAAAACATCTTTTTTTGGGTGAAGTAGCTTCCAGGACTACAAAGTTTTAACCAAACACCTCCAATAGATGTCCTTTATAGCACCCCCACCCCACCCTGAAAAAGCTCTTCGCCAAACACCCCTTTGTAGTCCTTGAATATCAAGAAATTCAGATGTTGAAAAAGTACGAAAACAAAATGTTTGTTTGTCAGTTGTCACAGACATTATTCGGGTATTGCATTTATAAATGTAATAAATGTCCCTCACAAGGTAAGCAATGATCTAGTCATGTGCATATGCCGTATTTTCTTGTAACGTCTATTTCCATAATGATCTGTTATTCTGTTCACAGTATACACGACGTAAAACTACGCCGTCAAGGGGTTGAGAAACGCGTCGTTTCACAAGGCCTGCAGCTCTGGATTTCTAATGTACGTTTCTTCCATATCTAGAGTTCGTTTCCATAATCCGTTGTGTTTTTTTTTCCTTTCAATGATAAAAATTTCACAGGAACCACAAGTTGGAGAAAAATTCACTATGCTTGCCCGGGCTGGAAGACAGGTATGCACCCCCACCCCACCCCACCCAAAAGAAAAACCTCCCCTTAAATATCAAATCCCTTGTGATATGTTTCATGCGTATGACAGGTGCAAGAAATACAGCTTACGACGTCCCTAAATCAAGAGGGTATCAAAATGGCACTGCAGCGGGTGTTGGAGCGCATACGATGATTTGTGATTATGCTCCTTGTTGTCAATGAATGGAACCTCAGTTTTTTTCGCTCAATAGCACAAATGCGTTCTTGTATTATCGATCACACTCAAAGTGTATGCTTCGATTGCGACAAAGAATAGGTAATGTGGTAAATTGTTGAATCGAGTTCCGTTTATGGGTGAATAATATAATACTTATTCCCACCCTCTTCAATTGCACCCCTTAAATTTAGTCGACTTTGGAGTCAATTTGACTTCAAAGTCAACTAAATTTAGGCATGCCATGTGGGATTAAGACCCTTGACAACCACCCAAAACAAAAGAGACCCTTCAACTACTTTTATTTAACACAAACACATTGCAGAAAAAGTAACCACAACATGATTTACACTACATTTTTATTCCAGATTTGCCCATTTCCAATACTTTAAAACCCCCCACATACAGCTCAGAATCAAGATGAGTAGATCGAGTACATGAAAACACTACACACACCATGGATTTAGTTGTGGCTGGCTGGCTTAAGGCTCGGCGGTCTCCCCCTTGGCCGCGCAACACCATTTGCACACTCCGTGACTATTCGCGCCACCACAGCAACCAGCATTGCCGCAGCTTCCACCCGGACCGGGCTTGCGGTGGTGTTGGCCATGACCGCCACCTCCGTGGCCACCCCAATGCCCACCATTGTGACCACCTTTATGTCCACCCCAATGCCCACTGTTGTGACCACCTTTATGTCCCCAATGATGGCCATAGCTTTCCGCTAGTCAAGATTGGAAAAATAAAATAAAGTTGCACATTTTTAGTGCTTCCACTTTTTTTACACAGAAAAAAAAATGAAATATCATCCCTTAAAAGAGTCATTTTTCAAATTTTACCCTTCCCATAACAAAGTCGAATTTGAATAAAATAAGCCATTTTTAATCACATATTTTTTATATTAAACATGATTTTACAAACAATTTTATATGTGTAAATACTATACATAAATTAAACAAAAATTCTCCCTCCATTAGGAATTAATTATCCACTTCTATTTTTTCTTCTTTGGAGTTTTTGGTATTTTTCAAACATTTATCATATTTACTAGACAAATGAGTGTGAATTATCAAACATATCCCTAAAGAGCACATCAATGTTTTCATCACACAAGCTCATTTCAAGAATTGTATTACTCCATATCATTTTAGAAAAGTTCACAATTACTTCCAGGCGTAATTGGTATATATTATGTTGTAAAATTAAAAACAAAATTATATCTATTTGAAAATTACATAAAAAAATTCTACAAAAAATAGAATATAATTTGACTATTTATCCTATTAAATCATCAAGAAAATATATAAGATAAAAATTGTGAATTGCTCTTGCTGCTAAATACCTTGTGGTCCAACGGCATCATCTTCGTCGTTGTTTAAAATGAGAGGTCACAGGTTTAAAACTTAAAAGACGGGTTTTCATTTTTTTTATATTTTTAGTAGGTTGTGAAAAAATATATTTATACATATTCTAAATTATAATACTCCATCCGTCCCCCAATTATTAAATAGATTCAAACATATTCAAATGCTGACAAACCTTGTACACTAAACAAGTACGGAGTATTAAATAAATTGGATTGAAAACAAAATTTTCTCAATATGCATCACGAGGCTTGACGCACTTTATTTTCAATTAAATTTATTTTATTGTAAGTGTAAAACTTAAAAATTATATATATATAAAAATTAAAAACTACATGAAATGTTTTTCAAAACAAGAATTGTGACAAGACTATATCGTTTTATTGAATGACTAGTAAATTTAAGTAAAAAAAAGTGAGATAAATTTAACCATGTACGTAAATAAAGTCTAGCTAAGAAGATCTATGAAAACTTACTGCCAAATGAAGCTTGAGTAGTAGTCTCAGCCAATTCCCTGGCCGTAACCTCAGAACCAATCAGGAGAAAAACAGCCAAAGAAATGCAAAGAAGAAGAAAAGCCTTTGAACCCATTTTCTCTTTCCTTTTCTCAGAGATGTTTCCAAGGAAAAGTTTGGTTGAGTGTGTGAAAAAAGAGTGATTCCCATTTATATAAGACCATAGAACGTGGGCTGGTCACGTTTACTAGAGCTGATCTCAATAATGGGTCTGTGGGGCCCCTCCTCCTCATGGTTTTGCTGGTGGGGTTGTTGAGTTCATCATGCATTTCTTAACTCTATGCATAATATATACAGATCAATCAATATTTTGAAATATCTTGACTTGTTGGTAAGTTAATAGCATTGCGGGCCCCCACCCCTTCACTACCCGCCCCCAATCCAAAGGCTATGTTTGGCTGAGGAAAGGGGACGGGTCGGGGTGGGAATGGATAAGATGAGGGAAGGAGAAGAAGACGGCTGAGACCGACTAGCCTACTGATGACCTCAATCACAACGGCAGCGGCCTCTGGCAAGGGAAGGCGAAAACCCCAATTGGGGGAACAATGTTTAGGACAATGGGGGAAATGGGAGAGGAGATTTTGGGTTCCCTTCTAAAATTTTAGACCAAACAAGGGAGAGGCTCATTTTCTCTCGTTTCTCCCCCAACCAAACATGTCCTCAGAAAAACTTAAGCTTGATTCATTCCAGTAATAATTTGTTCTCTTCAGCTTATTATTATTATTATTGAAATCAGATCATATCAGAAACAATTTTAAATATAACTATAATTAGATTCAATTAGATCAGACGAAGAGAAGAAGTTGTAAGTGTTAGGGAGGAATGAGTGTGAGTGTTCTCCAAGACTCATGTGATGGAATAATGACTATGCTATTACTATGTATGTTTTGGAGATAAGAATATATGGTGGTATATATTCATGTTAGATGATTATTGATGTAGATGTCATATGACTTTAATTATTGAAAGCTTCCATTGTTTAAACAAAAAACACTAATTTTTAAAATTAGTAGGAGTATTATTTATTTAAAATGTGAGGATGCTAATTTTTTTTGAACACTAATAAATCTATTACACGTTATACCTCTCATTTGGGAGAGTCATAGTGATGAAATTAGACTACAATGTCCTTGGCACTAAATTATTAAATCTTAAAGAAAAAAACCGAGGCAATTGTTTCCCTCCAAATAATTCATTCATAATTATAAAACAACTTCTTTTAAATGAGTGTATTGAATATACTCCCTCCGTCTCAGAGTATTTTGTCCATTTTTAACTTTTTTGGTAAAAATTAACAAATTCTAAATCTAAGTTAAATAAAAATGATATTAGATATTGATATATAAATAATTTTATTAGATTTAATATATAAAATATTTTCAAAAAAATTATTTAATATAATTAATATACAACATATATTTTATTTAATTAGAAGTCAAAGATTGAAAATAATTGATTGAAAAAAAATCAAGAGTCGACAAATACTCTGGGACGGAGGTAGTATTAATTTACTGTTAGGAAAAATATTTGATAGAAAACATTCTCCTCTTACTTTCTCATTCACAATGAACCGTGCAAAAGTCACAATACATTAACTTTGTCACGGAAATCATACATTTCACCCATTTTAATATCAATGTCTCATAGACAATTCTTGCATTGTGAATATGTGTCTATGAAACATTATGCTATCAAAGGTGCTATAAAATGTTTGTTTTTAAATCTTGTTTCAGAATATATAGGGGAAGTATCTGGACGGACTAAGAGGTCTGAACCATTAAGTGTTGAACCAGTAAGAGGTCTGAACCATTAAGAGCTAGTATATTGCTTAACTATTCAGAGGCAATTGTCTAATCAATTCAGATAAGAGGTCTTAACCATTCAGACTCTGTATAATACTTAACCATTCAAAGGCAAATATCTAAACCATTCAGACATCTAAACCATTAAGAGCCTGAAACAAACAGTCTGAACAATTAAGTGTTGAACCATTCAGACATCTGAACCATTAAGAGGCTGAAACAAACAACCCTTAGAGCCTATTCTCTTCACATGATCTGATGATCTGATAAGAATAAGTTTTGATCTGGTCTAATTCAATCTAAATGTAGTTATATTTAAAGTTGTTTCTGATCTGATTTTGTCTGAATTTAATTGGTTCTAATAAGAATAAATAATAACTAATAAGTAATAAAAATAAATTGAAGATAACAGACTCTTAGGAGTGTGTGTTCAGGTCAGGTTCAAGTCTGACCCATATTACTTTTGTTTCTTCATAAGGTCCCGGTTAATTATAATTTCTATTCCCCTCAGTTCTAAAAAACTTTTTTTATTTTGACTTTTTTTGTCAAAAAATATTCTTTGACCATAAATTAAACATAATCCAAATAAATAATTCTTATCAAAATTGATATATCAATACTATCCTAAGAGGACCCCAACTATATTATAACTTATATTATAATCAATATACTTTTCTCTTAATCTATAAGTAAAGAGAGTCACTGTTTGACAAAAAAATTAAAACAGGAAGAATTCTTAGGAACGACGAGAGTACGAGTGTACGACCCAACCGGTTTGGGTTCGGGTTGGGCATGGCTAGGGGATCCAGGTTGTGGTGTTTGGTTGGCCTGGTCAGGTTTCAACTCGGTTAGACAATCCATTTAACAAAACTCAGATTTCGAATGTTTTACTCAAATAATATAGAGAAGCAGTAATGTGGACGAGAAAGTTCCATCACAACTCAGATACATGATATGGAGTAGCAGACAGCAAAACACCCACTTTAATTTTACATCATAAATCAAATGTGGAGTATTTATATAAGAACGCAACTTACTTATACATCAATTACTTACACTAGTTCATTTATATATTTACGATGCCCATTGGTAAAAATAATGATTTCTACTCCTCTAACCTCCCCCTTAAACCTCCCGTCCCTGCCCCACCCCTGCCCCCTCCCTATCCTGGAGTATAAATATCACATTAAGTTGAAAAAATGAATTTCATCCTTAAGAATTTCTCAGAATCGATCGGACAGGAGCACTTTATATTTCTAGTATCTTCATGCTAAGAGGCACTTTCTAGCATTCCCTTGATCTTTGGGCTTAGACACCATCAATTCATCCCTTCACATAGGACTGGGTTGGGAAAAATCGAAAATCTAAACCAATCGAACCGAAAAAACCGAAACCAATTGTAAAAAAACCAAATCGAATCGTTAATATTTGGTTTCCGTTTTGGTTTTCACTTTGGAAAATCGATCCGAACCGAGTAAACCGAACTTTCTTAGGCAATTCGCTTTATTTATATGAGTATATGTAATATGTAAAAAAATCATAGAAATATAAATTCAAATTGTTGACTAGTCGATTAAAGTTAATTTTTTAACTATTAATTAAACATTTTAAGCTATATTATAAACTTTAAAAATACTTAAGAATATAAACACCCTTAACTAATCATAATACATAATTATATTAACATTAGACATTGATACGAGTAATTAACATATTTATTTAAAAAGCTTTGATGTTATAATGGAAATGAAAGTATTATACCAAAAAATGCAAATAATTGTCTGTATATTTACATACGATGTCTTTGAGAACATTTGGAATATCTTAGATTTTTGTTGGGCACTCGACACATATATTTTTTTTTGTAAAATTGAACCGAACGGAACACTAACTTTCCACTCACTTTATGGTTTTGTATAAAACTCAAACCAAAAAAACTGATCTCAAACCAACATATTGTTATTCCTTCATTGGGTTAGTATTTTTATAATTTTTTAATACTTATAAATTTTTATTTTTATAAACCAAAAAAATCAAAAAGCACTAAAATAAAAACTGTATAAAACCTAACCGAATAACCAATGACTTACATATCTTTTATGCAAAACCGAACCACCAACTTATATTCCATTTTATCTTTGGTTTTTGGATGAAAACTGAACTGCCAAAACTGAATCAACCCCTACTTCACATTCTAAAATGCACGCAAGTGACAAAATTGGAACTTTGAAATGCCTAAAACTTAGGCCCTGTTTGGTACACGGAATTCAAACTATAGAATTGGAATTATGAACTTCAATTCCAATTCTGGTGTTTGGTATCACAAAAATTATGTGGATTTGGAATTGGTAGTGCAAAAAATGAAATGAAATTGATGAATTCAATTCTGTGGAATTTAATTTCATGGAATTTCAATTCCAATTCAATTCCATATAGCCCTTAAAATTTAAATTTCGAATTCAAATTAGTGAAATTACCAACCTTTCTTAAAATTGGTAGATACTACAGTTACTTTTGAAAATATCCCAAAAGTTAATATGTCCGATATATTTTTGTTCTAAGATTAATTTGTTTACTTGTTGACTACGTTGGGTTAATACCATGGGCGGATCCACTCGATCAATAACTAATGGCGGCACTTGCCCCCCAATCAAATTTAGTTTTTATTTAATTAATACATTAAAATTTCTCTAAAAATTAATATTGTCCTCAATGAAGAAATAATCTGCCCCCAATGTAAAAAATGTTCAAGTAAAATATTATTTAAACTTTTTTTGAAACGAACAAATTATTTAAACATAAAATAAAAAAAATAATAAAAAATAAAAATTAAACTATAATATTACTAGAAGACAATTTGAAAATAAAAATTTCAAGAGAAAGTAAAATTATAGAGAGTACTTTTGAGATTTTTCATTAATTATTTGAATGTTTTACGCCACCCGTTTCATAAAATGGTTCATATTTTGACTTTTAAGAGAGACAAAAAGTGTATATTTGTGGTTAATTTTTTAATTTTGTGTTTGATGTGATTGGTAAAAGTAATATGTGATAGGTGGATGATAGATTATTACTGAAAAAGTATGATGTGATATGTAGGAAAAGAAAAAGTATGGGTAAATATAGTTTTTTGATAGAAAGTAGAAGTGTTTTAAAAAACAAAAATTAAAAAGGTAGTGTTTTAAGAATACTGAGGGAGTATTAAAAAATTATTTTTTATAATTTACCTTAATTTAATAAAAAATGAGGGCGCTATCCTTGAACTATTTTAGGCCATCTCCAATGGGATGCCCAAAGGAGATGCTCAAAGGAGAGAGAAGAGGATGTTTATAGGTGCCACTATTGGAGATAGATGCTTAGAGTAGGTGTTCAAAGAAGAAAGAGAGTGAGAGATGCTCAAGAGAGCATCGGATGCTAGCATTCAAAATCATGTGTGCATTCTTTTATTTTTTTGTAAAAT